TTTTTTATTCGCATTTTATATAAAAAATATAATAAATTCAAAAATTAATTAAACGTTATCAGAAATGCTAAAGTATAAGTACGATGTGTGTTAGAGTACTATTGCGAATAGATATAGTCAATTATTTTGTAAACATATTTGTTATTTTAATTTTTATAAATTATTTAATTTGATGCAACGCGACGCGCTCAGAATCGATCAATTACAGTCGCGTGTTATTTAAGATGGCGGCGGGACCCGATTCGATTACTTCTTCATTTCAGATGTTAATTAGAGAGTGCTATTTTAATGTAATTTTAGACATAGTGTATGTTTATTATAATTAATAAACTTATATAAGAATAATATATATTACTGACTGTAGTTTAATGCTTACTTGGCGCAATGTAACGGTAAAATATATAAAGCAAATTAATGATATTTTTTTATTTTTACTAATATACAGTAAATGCTTGACTACGATTAAATCCTCGATTTATATAATAAAAAGTTTATTTTTTATTTAAATTTATTTAAATAAAAAATTAATGTTTTTTTAAAATTTGATTTGTAAATGCAAAAACTAAACTTATAAAATATTAACTCACTATAAATAATTTCAACTTTCGTTTATTGACATCAGATTTGTTAAATTTCACGGAATTGTGTTATTTTTCAACTCTATTATTTATTCTATGGTAAATACAGTAGACCCCCTATAACGCGAGTTCATATAATACAGATTCCTATAACGCGGCGAAAAAATTGCGACAGTATTCGTATAAAGATGCTAAAAGGAACGCGTAAAACGCGGTAAAACGTTATCGCCGACTCGTGTCGCGACAGGATTGGTCGAATCTGGACCAATATTAGACGAGCAGCCGAACTACTTACACGCTACCGAGGGTTTAGACGGGTAAATTGAGTTTACAAGCGTCTGTACAGTATTATTATCGTCTGTACAATATTAACTTAATCTATTTTAACTTTATTATAATTATACAGTTGACCCCCCTATAACACTGTTGATTATTCCGTTTTATATGAATTTCATGCTGTACGAGTCACTTAGATTTTACAAATACTTGTGCTGGGCTGTGAACGGTTTACATATTTGTCGGTGTGTGATTGGCTCATGTATTTAAGGATTCCTACAAGGAGAAATTCTTATAAAGCGGAACGCATCTCCGCGTTATAGGGGGTCTACTGTAATAGACTCTAAGGGTGCGTTTACTTCTGAGTTAGCAGTGCTAATTCTGATAACCGGATGTGACGTCATTAGCACGTGTATTCGTGCTTACTTGTCCAATTCGAAAGTGAACACATACGCTAACAAGAAATATGGCGGTTTCCAGCCATATTTCTTGTTAGCGTATGTGTTCACTTTCGAATTGGACAAGTAAGCACGAATACACGTGCTAATGACGTCACATCCGGTTATCAGAATTAGCACTGCTAACTCAGAAGTAAACGCACCCT